GAGGAAGTCTATGCACAGCATGTGAAACGTAAGGATGAGAAAAGGGAGCTTAAGGCACAGGAAAAAGATAAAGCCATTAGAGGAGAGCAATTGACATATACAATGGATTTGCAGGCTGTGAAGCTATCTCCAATGTTAAAAGCGAGTGCTCTGTATTATAAAATGAAATTATGTGTACATAATTTCACACTTCATAACATTGCCACAAAAGACATCAATTGCTATTTATGGAATAAAAGCGAAGGTGGTCTTGTAGCAGCGGTTTTCGCGAGTAAAATATTAGATTTCTTCGAAAAGGAAATAGAAAAACACCAGGCTAATTCGGTGGTTATCATAAGTGATGGTTGCACGTATCAAAACAGAAATGCTGTTTTGGGAAATGCACTGCTTAAATTTGCAATTGAGAACAAAGTCACGATTACTCAGCATTATCTAGAAAAGGGCCATACCCAAATGGAGGTCGACAGCGTACACAGCACTATTGAGGTTAAACTAAAGAATAAAGAAATCTACCTTCCATCTGATTATGCCAGAATATGTAGAAAGGTTAGACCAAAGCAGCCTTACCACGTGAACTACCTGGATCACACATTCTTCAAAGATTTTTCGACTATCCATTATGTCTCATCAGTGCGACCCGGAAAGGCATCCGGTGATCCTGTTGTTACAGATGTGTGTTCTTATAAATATTTACCTGAAGGCCAAATACATTATAAGTTAAATGTTTGTGACGAGTGGCTTCAACTACCACAACGTATGAAAAAAGGATTTTTTGAGTTGCCACAGCTTTATTTTCAAAAATTGAAAATATCAGAGGAAAAATTCAATCACCTCCAAGAGCCGAAAAAGGTAATTCCAAGTGACTGCCACAGATTTTACGATGAGCTTCCACATTCATAGTTTGTAAGAGAATAATGTTCGATTTGTTATATACTAAGGAATAATACAGTTTTTTCCACTGAAAGTTGTTATTTTTTGTGTTTTATAGCTAATAATGTAATATTTTCTGCGTTTGAAGTGTGTATCTCTCAAACAACTCTATGTGCACTTACAAGGCGTTAAAAACTTCCATCATTCGATCGATTGAAGTCCCAACTTTCTTTCCATTTCACTGGAACATGATTGATAATCTGATAATCTGGATGTGGATATTCAAATGTATTATTGATGATTTTTACACCATCTTTGAATTCTTTACAGGAATTTGTTCTGTGATCCAATGTTTTTGAGGTACCTGCATTATCATCCGGCCTGCAGAACTGCATTTAATGACAACGCATGTTATCTTTACTGCTAAAACTTTTACCGCACCTATCAAGGTGAAGAATATTTGTGAGAATATTCAGTACACGTGATTTCAAACCAACTCCTGTTAATGGGTGGCCTCTCTTTTATACGTTTTTTCAAAAGGTGGAGAGAAAAAGAGATTGCATGTTCGTTATCAAACTCACCTCTGCAAAGGCTCAAAATCAAACAAAAAACGCACTTCAAAAGCTTCTTCGTCTATACAGTTGAAGGTCGTTCAAAGTCGAATCTTCAAATTTTGGAAATAGATGCATACCATGACTCAACTCCATTCGAGGTAGAAGTCACCTTGCCGAAAATATGACTCTAAAAGTCACCTCTGTCAAAAATATGGGACGTGAATCAATTATGGTCGGTCAAGGTTCAAGGTCACAAATACTACATCAAACTCACCTCGTTTGCTTTGTGTGATATAGGTCAAGGTAAAACTCAAGATATCACCACAAGGTCACCTTGTCTGCGTCGTGATACAGGTCAAAATCGATCAAGGTCAAACTCAAAACACATCCTCAAAGTCACCTTGACTTTATTGTGTGACGTAGGTTAAGCTCATTTCTAAGTTATGAATGGTGGGTGGATCCAAAATCTGCTCAAACCAACTACTGCTAAATATTACCTCACCTTTTAACACGCGATTTTCAGTACATGTTAGACGATAGACAGTGAAAATCGAACATCATACAGTTGAAATTGTCAACTCCACCTAGCGGTTCATTGAAAGAATAGAACGAACTCACGTTAATCAATTGGCTATCAACCAATATATTTGATTTGTTACTAATGTATCGTTACATCCTGTAGTCGGGTAATTTTTGCTTGTACGTTGTTGACAATAAAACTAAAAGTTAGGATTATAAAGGAAAAAAATAAACAATTAAATCCAAATAACTATCTGATTCGCATCCGCTTGGATGTATATTACAAGGCCAAAGTCACAATGATCCAAATTCATAGTAGCACATTGTTTCCTTCTTATGTCAGGCCCATGCGCTGAAATTTTCAGCTTCTATAAAATAACGAAGGTCTGGCATTCACGGGCTGTTGCTTTATAGCTCAACGGTGGTATATTTAATTATATTCATATAATAATAAATATTCTTTGGGTCTCTGAGGCTCTCTTATAAATTCACTTCTTTCTGATCTCTCGTAATGACATGACTTTTCCCCTGTACACCCAAAGTTCTTGTACAAGAGCAAAACCAAACTTTCTCGAAATTTTCGTAGGGACCGCGAAAGTTCCCGTACCGGAAAGTAATAAAACATCAACATATATCGTTAAGGTTTTATTAACATATAACATATAACGTTAATGTTTTATTACTTTATGCCAGATATAAAATATCCTCAAAAATATCCCAATATATGGTTGTTTGATGATTTGCTTGAAGACAGTATTCCAAATATTTTTTTCTTTGAAAAAATATGTTGGCAACATACCCAATAAGTTAAATCTCTCAAGGAAGGTAAGATATAACGTCACAAATCTTCCAAATTTTCAATAGCTAAAATGAAAATCTTCGTTATATATTTGAAGAAAAGTGGATAGGAGTGTACCTTTCTAAGACACCAAAGTCATAGGAACAATAACACCTTACAGTTAGATTGGTATAACAAACCATATAGTTCCGTAAGATTAATGAACTATTATTCATCTCATTCACAATAAACAAAAATGATCTTATTGAGTTTAAAACTAGGATTTGTTGAATTTGCCATCCATCTTTGAGAAATGAAGGTTTAAAAAATATTTATGATCTACTCATTGATAATTTATTGATTACTCAAAAATATCCTGAAACAATTTAATAGTTAATGAATGTAGAAATACAATCAAATTAATGCATGTTATATGAAGAAATTAATTCATCAGACAATTAACACATAATCTCACTACTATATTAAAACAAGATACTAATATAGTAGTTGTTGGAAAAATTCAAAAAACAGGTGATATCTCTTATATCACTTGTAGACATTGGTTTTTGAGAAAAAACATTTTGTCTTTCACTTCTCCATCTTCATAAAAAAAGTTGTGAGAAACTTTCAAAGAACGGAAGAGAACATTTAAGGAAGATTAAACTTCTTCTTGAAGATGATCACTTGGTGATCGAAACACGTGCCGAGGTGTTAAAAATAACGGTTTGGTGTTGGAATGAAACTCCAGTAATAGCTATTCCTCATTATTTACGTTTATTAAATGGATAAATATCATTTCCGCACCCATAAACATAAAAAGCAACATAAAGTGCAAACTGATGATTATTTCATTACATCACCTTGAAGTCTGGAGTTCCTCAGAGATCCATACTTGGACTTTTATTGTTTGAAATGTATACTTTAAATAATGTATACTTGTCTCGAAAATTGCTCAGCTGACCTATATGCACAATTGTTTCATAGTTTTACACCAGTTTCAGTGACTAATGCATAATCTCTCATCGATAGTAACTCAAAAACATTTGTGCAGGCTGCAACTATATTGTTAGTGGTTAGTAATTCAAACACATCGAGAAATGACAGTAGAATTGTTAATAACATGATCATTGAGACTAACAACGAAACACTTGTGACAGTGAAGGTGGCAAAAAGGTGTATTTTTAAATTCCAAGCTGAAGTTTGAAAAGTGAATTAAAGAAATGATATAAAGAGTGTATTTATCTTGGAAAGTATTCGTTACATATGGAAACATACATTTTTATATTATCGGCAAAAACAGTTCTGTATGAAGCTTTAGTTCTATCCTTATTCAAATATGAATTCTGTACAAGTACAGAATTCATGCCTTCCGCTTATATAAGGAATGAGAAAGATAGAGAGTAAATCACATAAACTGCGTGTGTTGCATGGTTGAAAGTACTACTTATCTGTCACAAAAGGTGAATTCTCGTACATATCCACAACCTGAATATCAGATTCAAATGAATTTAAACACCGCCCATGTTTAGAACTAAATAATTCCTGCTGTCATATAGTTACTAGATCACAAAGGTATATATGATTCTTTCGCTTACAAGTAGTCGATACGTTTCAATTTTTTTTAACCTCCCTTTTATTTGTAATTACAATTTGACAAATATGAATTGAAGAAATGTGGAATGTGGTTTATGGTTGAATGAAAAAGGTCGATTAGAAATTCGCCTCTGATAAAAACTGAACTACGCTGTTTATTTTCAATAGGATCTCAGAGCCTGTTGTATCAATTAAATTCGAAAGGCCAGATTTCTCTTCTGTATTTCCATCACTGATTGTCAAAACCAACTAACGAGTCCTGAATTTACTATCTAAACTCTGAACAGACGAACTTGTTGTTTTGAATAGATTGTACCTACTGGACGATTAGAAATGAAAATGAAAAGTCCATTTCTTTTGAAGAAATAATAATAATATGATTTGACAAATGATATGAGTCTTTGAGAATAAAATTAGATTAAAATGTAAATAATTCAGCAGAAAATTTGTGCGATTCAAATATCGCCTGAAAAACATTTCGCATGCCAAAAATATTTTCCGAAACAAATAATTGCGGAAAACAACTTTTCGACATACTATTAGAAGAAAAAATTCTTTCAAGCCTCTCAACTTCAGTTTCAAGTGGAATTTCATTGGAAAAATGGTTCAATGAGGTTCAATAAGAGTGACAATTATTAGGTATATTTGTTTTTCTCAAGATGGTGAAACTGCTTTTTTGATTTCAGAACGTTAATGAACAGAAGAATGAAGAAATTGAACATCTGAAAACGCTCCTTAAGGAGCCAAGTGTAAATTCCTCTATTTCCAGTTTACCAAAAGATGACGCGGAGCAATCTCATCTCTCCGCTTTGCAGAGAGCATTGTCAGACAGAGATAATCAGTTGCTGGAAGTGCGAACACAGCTCCAAGATGCTACAAAAGAAATGAAGGAAAGCACGGAATTACTGAAGAAAATGAAGATGGAAAAGGAAAACGATTCCAGAAAAAAAAGTGAAATGGAAGAAACCATCACGGAAATGAAGACGCTTTTGAATACTGCTCACGAGAGGTCTCAGAAATTACAAAATGAGCTGGCTTTTTCAGAAGAAAATGTCAAAAGTAAAGAAAATGAGGTACTATTTGAAGAATACATTTTTATGAAACATGTGACCCTTGTGATTCATTTCAGTTGCAAAAGATATATAGTAAAATGAGAGAAAATGGACAAGTTGATCTTGTGGCGAATCTTGAAGAAATTCAAGAATTAAAGTTTCACAATAGAACTAAACAAAAACAAATCATGAGTTTGGTCAAAACTGCTAATAAATTGCAAGAAAGATGTGACAAATTTGAGAAGGAAAACTTTGCAATGAGGTATGACTCAGAATTTTTTCAGGCGTCCAAATCAATTTTGAATAAAAAAACAAGTTTTTCAAGAAGTGAGAAACAAAAAACGACATAAACATTGAAGTCTATCTGTAGTAGAAAAAATATCAAAGATACTGTGCTTCCAATTTATCTGTGAAAGTGAAAAGGTAATTTTTCATATTTTTGTAAGGTAAAGTAGAAAGATTCGAAACTATAAGAGAGAGAAACAAATTCAGGCTGATAGGCCATGGTCGAATGGGGCTTGCAGTATCAAACGTTTCGTCTGCTACTTCGGCAGAAATCATCAGTATATGCGTTTTCTGAGAGGACGAAGATTATATCAACAACGATTGACTGGCAAGCTCCTTTTTCACTTTCATTTATTATTTTTGAGGGTTATGGGAATGATAGTGGCGATGAAGATGGTGATTGAGGTGCCGGTGGGGATGGTGGTGGCATGTTCGAATACTTACTCCTGTTTGGTATGAACTTTTGCTAAGTTGTTCTGATTGGTCTGCAATTGAGCCAGGTTGTCCTGATAGATCCACGTTGCTGATGGGTATGCTGTTAGTAGGAAGTCTATCGGGGTTGTATTCTAGTATTTTTTTAGCCTATTTGGCCTGCATATCTTTTTATTTCCTGTTCTCCTTCCGATAAAGTTGTGCGTGAAAATGCTAAGACAGACGATTCTTCATATTTTATTATGTGGTCTGTTTCTGCTAGGATATGTTCTGTAGTTGCAAATCATTTCAGTTGCAAATAGTGGCAGTTATGCTTGTGTTGTTATATTCTAGTGTTGATAGTGTCTTTGATAGTTCAGATATGGAATGCGCCTTAGGAACCGAAAATCCTGTAAACCGATCTAATAGTGTTACGTAGTTGATTAGTTGACTTGTAGGAGGTCTTATTGATGTAAAGTTTTCCAATACCAAACCTACTGTAGCCACAAAGAGGACTCAACTAATTTCTTCAAGGAAGAATGATATTTCGGTTAGTTCAGATGTCACTTTTCTCTTCACTAGGGTACCAGCCAAGTAGACAAAAAGATCAAACAAATTTTCTCAGGAGTTCTTTTCGGACACTATACATTTTCAATAAAATAACTATTTCTATAAAGAAATGAATGGAACCGCCATGGGAGGCCCCCTTAGCCCTATGGTTGCAAATTTCTACTTGGATTTTTCGGGAAAAAAGCGGTCAGCACCGCTCAATTGAAACCTATTGATTTTGCTGCGTTGATAACACTTTTGTAAGTTGAAGCAATGAGGAACAAGCATTAGAACAGCTTCTACCTCACATCAACTCTAATGATCTTCGCATCCAGTTTACCATGAAAAAAAAACGAACGAGAGAAATAATTTTTGAATGTACTTGTCGAAAAAAACTGACGGAAAACTAGGTTACTCATTCTTTCGCAATTCTACTCATACTGATGGTAGAGATCAAGCCACCATTCAGGGCAAAAACGTGCTATGATGAAAAATCCTTGTTGATTTTAAAGATTTGTGAGCCACATCTGTTTGAAGAGAAACTTTCATTGGTCATCTAGGTCAAACTCTACAGGTCAATTGATTTATAACGTGTTCTACATCCTAGATGGAATACATAGTCTACTTGCCAATTCGCAAAACTGTTTGAACATCACAAAATCAAGACCATTCATAAGCCAACTGATTAACTACGCGAAACTATGGAATCGAACAAAGACAAAAGAGAGCACCTGACATCCACCGGTGTTTAGATGATTGCCTGATTCTGCGGCTCAGTTTACATAGAAACTATCAATGGCACCATCAACAGCAGGATACAAGATCACAAGCGTAGTTACCACCCTTCACAACCGGAAAATTCGCAATTACAGAATATGTCCCAGCAGAATTAGGCCATGTGATGAAATACGGGAAAACTGCTCTCCTGTCTGATTCATTGCATAGCCACGTATAACTTCATAGGAAGGACTCTTCCAACTTTTTCGACAGAAAAGAAGGATGTAAATGGGTCAAAACAACGTGGTACCTACCCAGTACTCAAGAAGACCAAATGAAGACTAGAATTCAATTCCGATCGACATTCCAAATATCTTCGAAATATTTTTAGTACAAGAGGTACACCTAGGGTTACCACTTCTTAGTTGTCTGAATCCGGGAGGAAAAAAACATTGATTATCATAACTTTTTATTTTATTTTGAACTTATATTTTACATTTTAATGAACAGATTTTAAAATAACTGGTTTAGAATAGACAAATTTAAAAAACTCTTTGCAGTCCATTTTTGAATTGAAAAACGTTTGTTTGAATTTCCGCCTTGACATGTTCTTCATTCAAACGATTTCTTTCCCTTGTCCATATATCGAATACTATGCTGAAACACGCTCGCATGCAGCGTTAGATACAGGTACAGATAAACTTAATTGAACATTTTTTTCTAACATGACACCAACTCCATTTTCGATGGTTGAGAAAAATTTTGCCTACCCCAAATCCACTCTTCCATTTGATTTAACAATGTTGTCTTGAACTTCCCGTGGAATGCAGAAATCTTCATAAAGTTCATTTCCATCAAAACAGATCTTCAAATCCACGGCCAAATCTCTCAAATCATCCCACGTTATCGGTTAGCCATTTCGACACCGCGTGTCGTTACTTTTGCACAGCTTGTTATTCCGGGAGAATTTTGTACATTTTAAATTCCTTTCGGGAGCCGGGAGATTTTAATTTTCAGAGCTTGAATCCGGAAGGCTCCCGAAATTCCGGGAGTGGTGGGAACCCTAGGTACACCTCATTGTGAAAGTTGAAAAATATCACTTTCCACTAAGATAAACTAGGCTAGGTTGAACCACAAATGTATTGCTGATTTAACTGTTCTCAAAAGACAAGCCTGAGTAGGTGGTAGTGAGGACATGTTCCCTTGAGAAGACTCCATCTATGGGATAGGCTGAAAACTCAGTTGCAGTGGAAGACAGAGGACGATTCTTGGTTTTTACAACTGACCACTCAAACGGCTATTTTTGTCAGTAATATTCACTTCAATTCCGTTTTTATTTGTCTTCTCTTCAAAATTAAAGAGACGTTTCTTGGAAATAGTTCAGATTCCTAATTCTTTTAGCATTTTACATTTCATTTGTTTTATTTTATACAAACATATTTTCCAGTTGAAAATTATTTCATTTTTCAGAGAACAGATTGGATTATCACAAGAAGATGTCGTGAATCTGAATGGATATACATCGAAAATGAAAATAATGAAAAAGGAATTGGATACCGTTAGAGATCATTTGTTGAAAAAAGAAGAACAATGGCTTCATCTCAAAATAGTTACTCACAAACTCAACCAAACCATATCTTCACTAGCCAATCAACTATTGGATCTAGGACAAAAACCGAAGTACGACAATTTGAAGGAGTTTGTTTCGAGAGAAGAAAATTTGAGGGAAGACAATAAAGTTTTGTGTGAAGAAAATGAAGCTCTGAGGAAAGGAATGCATGAGATTTTGAACAGTATCAATACAAAGAAAACGACATCATTGAATGAAATTAAGTCAGAAACTTTCGAAAAATTGATAAGAGCTTTAGACGTCAAACACATTTCAGGGTGGTATCACCCTGCGATGAGATTGCAAGCCGAACTTCACCATTTAGAAGGCATTAATTCTGAGTTGCGAGATCAACTTAGGCTTGCCAAAGCAGAGGCTTTGAAGTTCAGAGAAATATCTTTTAAGGACAAGAAAGAAGAGAAAAATGGATCCGAAAAAGATGGAAGAATTACAGAAAAACAGATTTTGGAGGCAAATACGGAAGTATTAGAAATTGTGTATCAAGATGAATTAACAACTGAAAATGCAGAACCGATACTGAATAACATTCTGGAAAAGGCTACAGTTTGTAGAGAATCTGGTGAAATTGATGGTGATACAAGGAAACTTCTGATCACGTTGTTTGGGAATGTATTAGTTGTAAATCACTCGGTGAAACAGAAACTTCAGTCGACTGAAGAATCACTTCAAAAACTTGAGAATGAACATGAATTGTTATTAGAGAAACTGAATATTCTCGATAGCGAAACTGAAGAAGAAAAGATAATTAAATTTGAGGAGGTTGTGAAAAGTAATGTTTTCATGAAAAGGCAGATTATTTATTTAGAAAATGAAATGAAAAAACTTTTGAATAAACTAGATAAAAAACAAGAAGATTCTAATAATGCTCTCATATTGTATACAAAATCTATCGGGGAAATGGAAAGGAAAAACAAATCTTTGGAAATGAGTTTAACGATTATGAAAAATATGAATGATATTTCTGTTGACTTCGAAACTCATTCAGAAGTATTGAAGAATTTAGATGATATGACTATTAAATACAGAGAACTTGCTGCATTCATCAAGAAGAAAGAAGAAGAAAACTCACTGGAGATGAATATACTGCTTGAGGTACAGAAGAACTTAGAATCGGACAAAATTGAACTGAAGAGTGAACTCATTTCGACCTTATCGAAGTTAACATTTCACAACGTTCAGACTAGGGACCATAAACTGGAAAGTATTTCTCAAAAGTTAGCTGAAAGTGAGGTTAACGAAATAACGGAAAGACAGCGCGCTAATCACATCAATAACTTGTACGATTTAGTGAAGGAACAGCTTAATAAATCCGAGGAGAGGTTTCATGAGTTTACAAAGTACAATGAAGATTTATTAAAAAAGAATATGGTACTGCAAGGACAACTGAGAGAAGCAGAAAGTAAAATTTGCAATTTTGTTGACAACAACTTGTATAACCAGTTGAAGAGAACGAATAATGATTTATTGTCAGAAAAAGAAAAACTGGAAAACTTGGTGTCTAACTTAAAACAGGACTTGAAGCTAATCAAAACGAAGCAGTTTAATGAAACGACTTGGAATGATTCCAAAGAACAAGAATTATTGAACCTTAAACATCAAATCGTCGATTTGATATCTTCATCCGATGAAAAGGTGACCATAGCCCAGCTGAATGAAGATATTATGCAATACAGACACTCCCATAACTATTATGAATCCAAGTATGAAGAAATGAGGCAAGCATTGGAGGAATTGAAGCTAAAATATGACGAAGAAATGAAGAATCATGAGAAAGAAAAAACACTCGCTGAAGAAAAAATTGTCATTTTGAATCAATCAATGAAGTAAGACATTTATTTTCATCCATCAATATTTCCATCGACAACTAAATTTCTTGAGCTAGCTTAGAACCTATCACAGAGTATGATTTTTTTTTCATCTATAGTATCTATCGTTCATAGTGTAATTCAGAATCAAGTCTGTGTTATGTGTCAGTTTTTTGTGTTATAGTTATTTTGATGATGGCTTGCCTATTTTAAATTCTTTAGCAGTACATATTTCTGTTTGGGAATGGTATCTTCAAAAAAACATCTGAATTGTTATTTTAAGTTATGTCACTAGTGAGTATTATTTGAAAGATGTAGCATTATTTATGCATTTCACTATTACTATAAGATTGTTCCTATTAACATAATAAATACGCTCGGTTTTGATTGAAGTTATGCCATGACCTTCTTGCTAGGTCTAAAAAACTGGCGTTGTAAATATAACGAAACTAAACAATACAAAAAAAAACGTTTTTGTTGCTAAGTAGTTGCTAGAAAGTTAATTTTGTTGCTCAAACCGATCGCGAAAAATCGACAACAGTCCTAGCTTTTTGTTAAGATGGCGTGGAACTGACTAAAATTTGAATGCCTAGATCAAACAAATGAAGGTGGATTTGTTGCTTATTTGTTGCTTTGAAATGGTACAAGAATAAAAGAAAAATAAATTTCATTTTTTAGCAAAGATTGATGAGAGAGCGTCCACGCCAGCTTAACTCTCAACTTTTTTGTCTTCAAATTCGAACTGTAAACCTACGAACAGTCCATGCTAGCTCTACTCTCGATTTTTTCACAAAAAACTTTCCATAATAATTTGTTGCTTCTCATAACATGCATTGACTGAGTGCAGAGAGTCAGCAGCAAAATAGAAAGCAGAAGTCAGAAAAGTTAAGAGATCGGTATACTTACGAACGAGCCACGGCAGCTCAATTCTTGATCTTTCAATATAAAAATGGAAAAAAATTTGTTGCTCCTTATAAAACTCACTGACCGTTCGCAGAGAGTCACCAACAGAATTGAAACCGGAGGTTGGAAGAGATTGCAGACTGGTAAACTCACAAACCGACCACGCGAGCTTAACTCTCGATTTTTGAGTAAAAAACATTCCATTATAATTTGTTGCTCCTCATGAAACGCACTGACTGAGTGCAGAGGGTCGGCAACAAAATTAAAACCAAAAGTCGAAAGAGTTCAGAGATCGGTATTCCTACAAACCGGTCACGCTAATTCAACTCTCGATTTTTTGGTGTTGAAACTTGAAATAATATTTTTTGCTCCGCATAAAACGCACTGATTGAGTGTAGAGAATCTTCAACAAAAATTGAAACCGGAAGTCGAACGAGTTTGAGACTGGTGAACCAACAAAGACCAAAATTGAGAGTTAAACAAGCCTGGCCGATTTGTAGGTATACCAGTCTTCAAACTCTTCGGACTTTCGGTTTTAATTTTGTTGCTGACTCTCCTAACTCAGTGCGTTTTATGAGGAGCAAAATATATTAATTCAAGTTTTAAGTCCAAAAAAGAGAGTTAAGCTAGCGTGGCCGGTTTGTAAGTATACCAGTCTCCAAACTCTTTCGACTTCCGGTATCAATTTTGTTGCTGAGTTTCTGTACTCAGACAGTTCATTTTACGAGCAGCTATCAATTATCATGCAAAGTTTCTAACGTAAAAATTAAAAGTTAAGGTAGCGTGGCGGTTTGTTGTTTTACCAGTCTCCAATATCTTCTGACCTCTGGTTTCAATTTTGTTGCTGACTCTCTGCACTCAGTCAGTGCCTTTCATGAGGAGCAACACATTATTAAAAAATGTTTTTTACGAAAAAAATCGAGAGTTAAGCTAGCATGGACGATTTGTAGGTTCACCAGTTTCCAATCTCTTTCGACCTTCGCTTTTAATTTTGTTGCTGACTCTCTGCACACGGTCAGTGAGTTTTTATGAGGAGCTACAAATATTTTGTTTATTTTTATACTGAAAGATTGAGGGTTAAGTTAGCGTGGTTCGTTCGCAGGTATACCGAACTCTGAACTCTTCCGACTTCTGGTTTTTATTTTGTTGCTGACTCTCTGCAGCCAGTCAGTGCGTTTTATGGGAAGCAACAAATTGATATCGAATGTGTTTTTACGAAAAAATCGAGAGTTAAGCTGGCGTGGCCCGTTCATAGGTTTACCAATCTCCATACTCTTTCGACTTTCGGTTTTAACTTTGTTGCTGATTCTGCACTCAATTAGTGCAGAGTAGTGAGGAGCAACAAATAATAATTCAAGTTTCATGACAAAAAAGTCAAGAGTTAAGCTAGCGTGGACGTTCCCTAATTTGAATTAAAAATAAAATGGAATTTATTTTTTTTTATTTTATTTTGTAGCCTACTACAGCAACAAATTAGCAACAAATTCACCTTCATTTGTTTGATACATGCATTCAAATTTCAGTCAGTTTCACGCTATCTCAACAGAAAGCTAGGAATATTGTCAATTATTCGCAATCGGTTCGAGCAATAAAATGAACAGTCTAGCAACTAATTAGAAACAAAAAAGCAACAAATTTTGTTTTTCTCATTTTTAATTCCGTTAAATTCCAACCGCTTTTTTCTCGTTGTTGTATTTTGTTATGCAATATAAAGTGGTAATCTCCAAGCTCCATGTGTAGTTTTACTCTTATGATATCTTCAAAGGTTTTTGAAATCTGTCTTGATCTAATAATATTATCATTTCTGGGAAAGAAAGCTTTTGGCTTTCTACTTCTTCATCTCATGATGTTAACGTATTCAAACGTGTTGCGTTTTTGTAAAATCGTTTTGTGAAAATCTCACAATAAAGTGTTTTTTGAATACGTTATATATGGATTTTCATCAAGTATCGGCCAATTCCATCATATATCCTGTGATGTTATTCAGATTTGGTACTGAAGAGGCAATAAGGTCAGTGTCTCATGTCGGAACATCAGATGTCCACCAGTGAGGACGACAGTGTTCCATGTAAGTGAAATTTTACCTCTTTCATTTACTATATTGTGTAACAATCCGCAATCGTGTGAATTTCATCTGATTCAATTCCATAATGAATATTTGTAATATAAACTGAATAGAAAAAAGTGTTTTTTATAATTCAGTGTTCATATAAAAGTATTTGTTTCGAAACAATTTTTTTTCGTGTAATTCAATGTTTATATTAAAGTAACTGTTCCGACAGAGCTTTTTTTCAGTTTGTGTCTGAAAATTTCTACCTATACATCTATACATCTTTGTATAGAGTTTCCTTTTTGAAATTGATTGTTTCCTTTCTTCCTTTGGAAGATTCCTACATTTCTTTGTATGAAGATGAAGAAGTAGAAAGCCAAAGCCTCCCTTTCCCAAAAATGATTCTCTACTGAAAATATACCCCTTTTCAATTATTATTTCCTAATAACTTCATTAAAAAATGGCATAGAGGCTACTGTGTCGATAGTGAGAGTCTATTTCTCATTATCCAGATGAACCACTAATAGGTTCAGCATGTTTTTCCTGGACTGAGATAGAAACTTTGAGGTTTTGTTTATCAAAAATTTTGGTCAGTTCACGAACTCATTGGATTTTGAGTTGAACTTCTGATCTTGCTATTTATTACACATGAACACATTATGTGATGAACTAGATGTATTCATTTCATTACATTCTTCGCAGCTTCAAATTGAAAATCATCATTCTTGATTTATCATCAGATACCAGCCTAACCTCAAAACAAGTCTGTTCCATATTTTCATTGGAGTTTGGAATAGGCCAAATTGAATAGTATGATTGCTCCTTATTTTTGCAAGGTACCTTTGCACTGTTGGTATTTATTCTTAAGTTACTTATAATATACTTGTTTGAAGTAGTATCGTCCATTTTCAAAGTTTCTTCTCTGATATCAGTTTTTCATCTTCACCTCGAATCTTGTTTATCTTATTCACCTTGAACTTTTTCATACTATTTTAGTCATTTTTCTCTGGATACTTATCACAAGTGATTTCGTTCAATTGCTGATGAATTGACCATCAATACAGATGGAAATATCATGGCTACTGTAGTTGTTAGTAGACACAATATCAGTAGACTTAAATTTTAATTCGATGCACCAATATATGCAAAGAAATAGTCTTGACATTCTGGCAGTATGCGAAACCAAAGTTAGTGCTATAATAAGTCACATCAATAATTTTGGTCAGGTCAAGACTTCCATTCGTAACACAACCGATTTCCAGGAAAAAACTCACCCTTCACTGAACGATCCAAAATGTCAGATATTACTCTTCCACATCGAATTCTTAGACGATGAATACTGAAGCAGCTTAACATCAATAACATCCTTGATTCTAATGAAGTACCTGTCATCGTATTGAAAAATGCACCAACTTGTATGTATGTATATATTTTCTCCATCATGATGAAACAGAAATGTCCCCAGTTTATGAGACCATAGACCGTGTTACTGTGAAACATTACATAGTGGGCGGAGAGATCAGCTTCCAAGTTCACAACTGATTTAAGTCTTCTGATTGCAAATATCGATTCGGACAATTTGCTAGTTGATTCCAGCTCAAACTTGGATCAGTGTTATGCTCTGAAATTAGAACGTATTCTTCAAGAGTGTTTCTCTTCCTCAGGATATTTTTTTCCATCTCGTGAATTTTTGAGTATCTATCATTAATTCTTACAGTGAATATTGCATCATCTGCAAACAAAGTTGTCAAGGCATTTGTACTTTCGAATGATGTTTTGCGAACTATTCAACTTGTATTAAAAAAAATTCTTGTTGTAAGATTGTTCGAATTCAATCTTTACCCAAAAAAGGCAAGAAAAGTCTTCAAAATCTCTGTTTTGAAATCTGTTTTTCTGTTAATCAGCTGTCGTCCCCATACGAACGACAACTCTCAGAAGTTGAGACACTTGTGCGAGCTAAGGACTAACGAGGTCTTACCTTTTAACGTGTGATTCCTAACACGGTTGCAGAATCATTCCAGCTTCAACCAGATAAATTCTTTCGAGAAAAAATATCTGGTCAAGGCGGAAATCGAACCCACGGTCTTCCGATCGTGAGTCGGGCACACTACCACCGCGGCCAATTCCACAACAAAATAATTGAATAGACCAGATGATTTTCTTTCAGTGATATATAATCATGTAGAAAACTGATATTCAACATATTCGTGAGTATTCGGAATGCTACAACTTCTGAGGCAATAATTAGAATGGATTCCGAAAACACAAAAGTTTGAGATGTGGCTCTAAATATTTTTAAATTATCCGATCGTGTCTAGTAGGTATAGTGAAATTCCTTGTAGAACAAACTTCTTCAGATGGTTTTTCCAAGTAATTATATTTTATGTAATTCAAATCCAATGTTTCAAAGTGAAGCTTCATATAAAAGCTTTTTTGTTTCTATTCATCGATCCTCCGGCTTTATCTTATTAGATAAATATCATTTCCCGAAAATATAATGGGCATCTTGTTCATAATATTTCAACACGATTATTCTATGATATTATCCATATTTCATGACATTCATTTGATGAAGATATCAATTATTATAGTGCAACTCATTCTGATATGCTTCCGAGTTTATAGTTACATATTATCATTTCTATATAGTCAAACAATATATTTTAGCGAAATATCTTCTTCTCATTGTTCAATGTGGTTCTGAAATATTACACTCTGATTTCTACATGCACAATGCCACATTTTCAACTGCCGCAATTGAACTGATGTGCGTGAAATGGTTTTTTCTACTAGCATCAAGGCTATTTGCAGAATAGCTAAATTCTTGGAATGGATATTTGTTTTGCATGATTTACATTGAAACAGATATCTGCATTATGTCAAGCTCCCGAAAATAAAGAATGGGTTTTACTTCGCCTACATTATTATTTTCAGTTATATACAGTGTGACCCATTTGAAATGGAACCACCCCTGTAGAATGTGCATTTTTCAATCAATCTCAATTTTTTTTAATTGAAATATTAAACATGAAAAACTGTATCTTGACACTAACTTTCACAATTTTAGTTTCATTTCCAAGGCACTCTATGGTTTTTTTTGTTTGTCAAAAACGGCAAAAGTTTATTAGGCAATTTTTGTTTTCAAATTTGACTACATCACTGGATTCGTAGTCGTTATAAATCAAAACTGTCAAATTTTCATTAAAAAATATTTGTTAACAATGAAGATAACTCACAATAAATTTTTTAGCAATTTACGTCTGCTCTTCAATACGCTGAAATTGCAGTATTTTGGATCTGTTCCCCTCTGTTCAGAGAAAATACTCATAAACAATATAAAAACAATCAATGAAGAAAAACATGAGAGTTTTCTACGTTTGCATAAAGCCAGAGTGAAAGAAAGTGAAGCCACTTTGTTGAAAGAACAATTGAAAATCGAATTGGAATGTTTAAAAGAAGAGCAGAAGGGATTAACCAAAGATTGTGAAGAGTACCAGCGTCAAGTACTGAATTGGATGAAGGAAAAAAAAGTTTATCAGATAAATGTAAACAATTCAGTAACGTTTTAAGTATATAGAAGAATGTGTGAGAGACTGGAAATGGCATATTCTGAATAAAATATCGTATATAACACAATAATCCCGAATTTCAATATCTATTTATTTATTCAGAAATCAATAGATATTTGCAATGAGAAAATAGGTAATTAGGACAGACCTTAAAAGTAGGTAAAAATTGTTTTTCATTATTCTCCAATTCTATGAGTTGTTCCTTGATAGGTAAATAATATAGGTGATGAATTCATCACGCATAATATTGACAAGTAGCAATATTCAAAATGTCTTTTTTGATTACGTTATACTAGATTTTCATCAAGTATCAGTCAGTTCTATCATATTTTCATCAATAATACTGTACATTAACGTCATAATGAATTTATGCGTTACTTTATGTATACCAAGCATATCGAGAGCTATTCAAATTCAAGTTTTTGCATGAGAACGCTGCGAGATGAAGGGTATTACTGAATACTGTGAAAAAATGGAACACTCAACTTTTATTTTTGTTTCGAAGATATACTAGAAAACCGATATTTGAGAAATTTACTTACAATTCGTCATAGTAACTTTCATAGGCTATCGAAATATTACAAGAATCTATGCTTTCACAGCCAGATTTACAATCACAAACAACAAAATCAAAGCTGGTAGACCGTGATCGAAAGTAACTTGTAGTACCAATGGATATCTAATGAATATCCAATGAATACTACATATATGTACCATGATCTCTTTTGGTCGCCAACTTGTACATTCGAGTCCAATATTAAACTGAAAAAACCATTGGACCTTGACTGGGCCTTCAGAAATCATAAACTGGACATTGAATAGACTACATTTGAGTCTTTTAGATGCATCTATGGATGTGATTTGAACGTTTCCGAAATGTATTATTTGTAGATGTTCCAGAGATCGTCTTCAATAAAATGTTAACCTAATTTCCGTAATTCCGTAATTGCCGGTATATTTTCATTTCCTGTCGAATAGATATCTTACAGGCTGGAAATTAGCTGTTTTCTGACGTAGATCAAAATGAAAAACATCAGCACTTTTGGATTTATCCATACATATTTTCAATCCTGGATGAACCAAGCAACAACAATAACTTTGAAAGGTGTGGTACTTCATTAGCAAAAATATGTTATTATATTTTTTCATTATGAATCTTAGTACAAAAATCCACAACACCAAAAATTAAATCCAGAACTATTTCAATATGGAGAATTTATTTTTCCGAACTTGTCGGACAAAAATGAAAAATAATCTGATGTATCCATAAATAAAACCAATTCACTCTTAATGCTTGATTCGTTGCTGATTCTTTCTTTCTTCATAAATTTGCACATTACACAAAATACCAATAAATAATATTTTTCAGAAGTTTTTTTTTTGTACTTAAGAATTTTATTTTGTAAACAGGAGAACATTTCAGAAGTTACTATTTAGGAATAACAAAAATTTATGATATGTAGAACAAAATAACAAATTATGGAATAGTAGTATTTCTAGGAGACATGTAGTAATGGAAATTCACCACGTAACACCTCCATCATTTTTATCACATCGCAAATGAAGTCGAAAACAATATCGGATTTGAATTTCCTTTCAACAGATCAAAAAAGACTTCAAATCTATCTTCGTGAACTCATTGAAATGAAAATAATTGGAAAATACTCTAAATGACTCACATTCCTCAGTATTTCTTCATCCGCCCAAATTATAGGTTACGAAAAGTATGTATATATAATTTTTGGAACGAACTGATTATGAACTCATGCTAGTAATTGATTTAAAATCAACTACTCATGTTGATCAATTGTGAATGAGCTAAATCTATCAACTTCTGGATGCAAAGTTTCAATGTATAATAGATCATTTATAACTCTCCACTAAACATCATGATTATCAATCCTGTCTGCACTAATTGTGATCATGTGATCATGTAAACATTTTTAGCATTATCAATTACATACTCAAATGAATGAATAGGCTAGGACATTTATATTTGTCTCTCTTAATGAGATTTCAACACTTTCCTCAGAGTCACCACCATTTGTGAACTCATAAAAAGTTGGAAAATAAGGTAAACTGAATGATGGTATGTCACGTCGTAAAACTTCAACTCACTTCGAATTATTCAATAGAAAAAAAAAGTTTGAACCTAACTTTCAAATTAGATAACGCGAATTCTTAGATACTAATATTTGAGTTGGAACCTTCGGGTTCATATTTGCATATTTGCATATTTTTATTATCAATTTTCAAAATTATTCTCCATTTTTGCAAATTTCATATCACAAATTTTCACTAATTGATAATCAACTGTGTTTATTGATCATTCATTTGTTCACAATGTCATTGTCGTATTAGGAGTTACTTTTCAATTCTTTTGTGAGCCCACCGATTGATCTGATGGAAATTCATTTATTGGTCCATTCGAAACCTATGAACGTATCTGAGCCTGAAATGTATTCGAATACTTTGTCTTCGGGCTCTGATTTACCTTGCAGTGAAAGACAGAGGATGAATCTTGTTAAGCGGTTGATGTCCAAGTTTGGCTTTGCAACGGAGCTTCTTGGAAAGCCTTGTTTGTCATTGATATTCAAGCTTATTCTTGCACGCAGCAATGCCTGCGTGGTTCAGCCTATCATCACTGATGATGATGAGATCTTTTGCCGGCCGGAACAGCGATGCTTTGCTTTCATTTATTTTTCTTTGCAATGAAAGCTGCAGTGGAATAAATAGAACGAATCTCTTCTGGTGGTCAATGTCAAATCTTGGCTTTGCAACGAACCACATACAGGATCCTCGTTCATCATTGATAGTCATGAAATGATTTCTTTTTCGATCTCGCATACGGCGATTCCGAAAAAACAAATTTACTTAGGATTGTTTTGAAATAGGTTATTCATACCTTTTGTTGAGTCCGCATTATTTTGTATATAGCAGATTATGAAATAGGTTATGCATACCTCATGTTGAGTACGAATCATACCGCTAGCATCATTGTTATGATCATGACAAAATTTCATTTTCAGATGAAGATATTTTTCAAAACAGTTTTGATTACTTTCGATTAGATTTCATGAAAACATACCTACGTTGAAGGAGTAACAAGACACATTTGAATATATTTTTACAGATTTGTAAAATGTTTTCATAGAACACGACAAAAGTGGCATGATATGTGGGAAAGAAAGTTCTTGACTTTTTACTACTTCATCTTGATACAAAAATGTGGAAATCTTTCCAAAAATTTGTCAATCCTAAAAATATAACCCTTTCAAATTGGAATGATATATTGTTTAGAACACACAGCGTATTTTTGTTCGTTTATTGAAATTAATTGTTGAGTTAAGCAATCCATTCGTGGTGTTTAGGCTCTGGTTTCATCTAGGTTCAACAGATATCCAATATATCTAAAGAAGAAATAAAATAGAATTTCAAATTTTTTTTATTTATTCTCTATATATTCGGAACCATGTGAGCTAAAATAAATTTTTAATATTTATTCGATATTTCCCAAAAAATTAAACATTGTCATAACTCAACCTTTTTTTTCCATACAGTTTACGAAATCCCAATGCTTATGCTCAAATTTTAATATAGGATATTACTTTTTTTATGCTGAATGTATCATAAAAACATTGTATATGATATTTAAATCATATGTCTGATACAAAACAAATTTTTAAATGCGTTTTGCAATATTTTGAAAAAATGACTATATGACAGTCATAATACAATTGAATATTTCATGAGGAAATGCCAATGTATAACTGTGATGAGGGAATGCCAATGTATAAGTGTGTAATTGTCAACTGCAATTCAATAATTTGTTGATTTGTTCCACAGGAATTGAGACACAAGCGGCAGTTAGAATTCAAAGAGGAGCAGTTACAACATTTTATGGAACGGGTGAAAATGCAAGACGATCAAATAGCACAACTAGACGAAGAGCTTCTATTCTGGCATAAAAATTTCGATGACCTATTCTTGCCAAAACAAAAAGACTTTCACGATATTGGAATCACAGAGACATCGACACGAGATTCTCCTACACCTGTGAAATCACTGGAAATTTCAAAATCGTTCAAGTCCGTTGAAGTTCAAGTTAACGAAGGGAAATCGAGCTCATCCATAGATGAAACCCAACTTTCAACATTATTGGCGGACCTTTCGAGAATGAAAGGCGAACTTTCCCAGAAACAACAAGTTGTTGATCAAATGAAGAGCAAAATCACTGAACATGAGATGACAATAAGTTTATTTAGAAAGCAAATTGGTGACAAACAAAGTCAAATCACATTTTATGAACGTCATATATTGGAACTGCAGAACAAAAAAGCTGAGATACATGTGAATGGTGCAGGTGGTGACAACATAAATGCTCGAGTAGAGAGAACTAATAGTACCAATGAAGACTTTTCTGTTCTCACGGTAAAAATTCAATTTTTTTTCAGATATGCAAAATTTGTTTTATTGGTGGAAATAATAATCGTGGAAATATCAGTTAAATGCATACAATGATATAATATTTCAGTTTACGTTGAATATCACGAAGAACAAAAGTGAAAACTGAATTATTTTTTATTTTTTAAATACGTTATAATTCTATATGAGTTTTATTAAAACAACGATAAAAATAAAATAAAAACAACAATAAAAGTTAATTGGCGCTCCGGGGCGACTTCATTGATTCCAGTGGCGCATTTGCTTTTTCAGCTGCAGGAAAACCCGGAAAAACCTGTAGCACCACATCATCTGAAGATCTTGATCTAACAATGTCC